ATGACAACACCTAGCTTCAAGAGCATGAAAACAGGATATAGTCACAGGTCACAACATATTTTGAAACAAATAAAAATTAACAAGCTACCACCTTGAAGCATCTTCATCCTTACAGAGGGGCCAAGACATAACATGCACACGTCAGTCCTTACAGACAGGGCTGCTACGTAAGATAACACGCTCCACTGTAAATGTATGTTTGGAATCTGTCTCAATGCACACTACATGCCTAATAACTAATGCTAGAACATACATTAGTTCCTTTATAAACATTTAATAATATCTATATAGAAAACTGATAAAACCACACTTTTAAGCAAGTGAACAGATGAGGGTCAAAATATTACCTCATCATTATAACTTAAATAACACTAGGCCATAAATATCCTTTGCTCTGGCTAAAAAAAAAAAAAAAAACAAAAAACAAAAAACCTGAGTAATATGGTAATTCTGATATTATTTAAAGTGTAGAAAATCAGACACCTGTATTTTTAAAACATTACTAATTGTGCAAATAGAAAAAAATTTCATTTATGTCCTTTAAAAAAAATCACAGCAAGCTGTATAACAACAACAAAGTAAATTATTTCAGAATTTTGCCATGGCCCTTCATAAAATACTACCATAGAGATGAAGCTCAATTCACCAATATGCAAGAAATATTTCTATTCTAAAAACTAAAAAAATATATACTAGGTAAGCACTTAGTTTTTATTATATTACACACCAAATTAATATTCTCCTTGAACTATGCACTATTACCAATTTAGTTCTCAGAAGCAAAAAGAGTATCTGCTAAATAATTGGCTTAATCTCCCATAACACCTTAGTAACTTCTTAAACTCTGGACTGTTTTGAAGTCTTTAGCAATTAAATCCAGCTGCTCCTGTTTTAAGTAATGAAGATAAAAGAGTCCCTCACATATAGGCTTTTCCAAGACTTCACAATCCAGGTAGACAATGTAAATACACAAGAGGAGAACAATATAATCACAACTAGTGATTGGGAAACCTGTCTACATACAACCTCCTGAGTGAGTTTTAACGACAGAAACTGTTTCAGTGAAATGTTTCTTTGCCACTGTGGAATCCACTACTGATATGTTCATGCAGACACAGGCTCCCTCAGCACTCTACTTGACATCAATTTGAATGAACGCACTATGATCCAACTAAAACATATCATAAATAAGGCAGGGAATGGGGGAGGTGCAGTGGAACCCCCTCTAAGGCTTTAGAGAAAAGGCTGTGGAAGTGAAGGTTATAAACAAAATAACACAAATACGAGGCTTGGCAGGAAGAAAGACAGACAGAAAGATTAGGCTTTTGCAGGAAAGACAAGACAACCCCTGTAGGATGAGCAAATGGCACAGAAAACTAAGCTGGATCACAGACAGTAAAGCAGATAATAACTAAACCAAAGTAACGTTTTAAAATGTCACAGAAAATACTTACCTGCCGAGCTGCGAATTCTGAACCTTAAATCGAGAATGCATGCAAAGGTAAAGCTTTGAGAAAGATGGTCTTAAAGCTACAAAGGACAGTCCCAGCAATCTGGGGCAGCTGGGCAGAGCAGGTTTGTTTCTATCGTGTGGAAAAGAGAGAAAGGGCCAGCAGTTAAGAGAGCATGTGACTGGGAAAAGCAGTGCTGAAGCCCCTTCAGAGATTTAAGTGATCTCAGATGCTGTTGTCCAACAGGCCAGTTTTGAAGTGTCCTAACAGGCTTGTAAACATATCTTTTTCAACATCTTAAAAGCAAGTTCACAAAGCTAGGAATTGGACCTATAACACCGTTCAAAGCTGTTTATCAACACAACTGCCCTTCCCACTTTGGTATACCACCAAGTTGATCTCAGGACCATAAGAGCTGAAGAACAAACTCATCTGGAAACTTGTCAGCATTCAGAGGCACCAAACATGAGTGGAAAGAACATCTTAAAGGGTTCTTATATTTGTAATTCAAAAAAATCTCATACCTCTTAAGAGACCCATTTGCTAAATAAGACTCTGCAGAGAAGCTTCTCCCTCCATTTTGGTTGTCAAAAGCACAACAAAAACAAGGCGGCTTCTCATTCTCCACTTCCATTGCCGTCTCCAAGCTCTCAGTGAGAAATGGGGGTGTGGACAAAGCCTCAAATTCATCCTCCATTGTTTCCACCTGACCCAGAAAATAAACAGATAAATGTAAAAATACCCATAGTGTTTCTTCAAATAAATTTCTCATTGTTACAACTCTGCATAATCCTTCAGCTCAAGTGAGGACACAGATCCAACTAATCTAGCTATCTAAATTAACTAGCCACAAGGTTAGACTAGCAGTAGGGCAAAATAGGAGACAGGAATGCATTACAAGGCATGGGTGAGCTACTTTCAGCAATACTTCATTTTATGACCAGAGTAGCTATGCTATGAAAATACATCATGCATTACAGGTTCCCAGTTGCCCATAACTTAAGGCAACATTACAGCTTAAGCTCCTTCTAGGAAGCAGTAAATACACCCCACATGACAATTACAGAACCCTGAAATGCTAAAGTTTTAAAGCTCAAAAAATTACTGTACAGCTGATTCTCACATAGTTAGAAATTCTTATTAAAAAAAAATCTAATTACCTAGGAATCTAAAAAAAGAGAAACAAAAACAAAGAAGGATTATCATGTCCAAAAGAAGTTCACTGTATAGTTAGTTAGTGTATTCATATACAACATATTAAAAGAGCCAAACCAGGCAACAAGTGTCACAGAGTTCCACAAAAATATGCAAACAATATAACTAAAACCCTAAATTAAGTTTTCAATTTCATTGCTGGCAGATTTTGTTACGGTTCTTGCAGAAAGTAGTTTAAACCATGGCTAGAAGTAGCACAGGCTTGACTGAAAAATAAGCTCAAGGAAAAAAAAAAGAAAATAGTTTCTGTTCTACTTTCTCCCATCCATTCACATTTCTTCAGAGCAGCAAGAAGGGAAAGAACGACTTCAGCGCTTCAGTTTACAGCAGGCCCCTATGTACGGGTGTTAGCACAGCTGGCGAGGCAGCTGAAGGGAATGCCCTCAACCACACGAATTTCTAAGGTAAGCCTGTTCAATCTGGGGTATCGAAACCGCCCCAGACGACAGAAAACACTGGGAGAAAAGGTACAAAAAGGGTAGCTCTTCCCGGCCGCAACTCCCATCAACTCTGTACTTGTCTCTCACAGCCCTGATCCCGCGGAACCAAATGACTTTAAGCACCGCAACTTTCCTGGCCACCCATGCAGGAGAAACCTCTCAGGGGGCTGCAATGCGCAGGCAGGAGCTGCAAACCGGCGAGGGAGCCGCCAAGAGCAGCATCCCAGCCGCCAAGGGAGCCGCCGGCGGGCAGCACAGACCCCGGGGAGCGGCCACGAACACGACCCGCGCGCGTGGCGCCCGCGGCCCAGCGCCGCTGCCCGCTCCCGGGCGGCGCGGGGGGCGCTGGGGCCGTACCTGCGCTGCGGGGCCGCCGAGCCCCTTCCGCGCCCGCCGCCCGTCCGTCCGTGCGTCCCGCGCGCCACCGTCACACGGGCACTGCGCACGCGCCGCGGTGCCGATTGGCCGCCGGCCGCTCCTCCTCCCGCGGCGGCCGCTCCTGCTCCTCCTTCCCGCTCCTCCCTCCCGCGCGATCTCTTCCTTTACCCGTTTGACGTCGCCTGCTCTGCTCCGCCCACCCCGGGGCGAATCGCCGCGTGCGGCGCCCGCTGCTCCTCCCAGTGTCCCCGAGCCGCCTTGGTTTCCCTGTTTCCCTGGCTGTCCTTTGCCCGGCCAACCACCACAAGTGGTGTCTGGCCACCTCTCACCTGAACACCACCATCTTGCCACAGCTACTTAATGCCCACATCAGATGTAGCTTCCCTTGTACTCGCAGAATCGTGGAATCAAAATGGTTTGGGTTGGAAGGGACCTTACAGATAATCTAGTTCCAACTGCCCTGCCATGGGCAGGGACACCTTCCACTAGACCAGATTGCTCAGAGCCCCATCCAACCTGGCCTTGAACACCTCCAGGGATGAGGCATCCACAAGTTCCTTAGGCAACCTGTTCCAGTGTCCCACCTTACAGTAAAGAATTTTTTCCTAATATCTAATTTAAATTTATTCTCTTTCAATTTGAACCCATTCCCCCTTAGCCTGGCACTACATGCTCTTGTAAGTAGTCTTGCCTCATCTTTCCTATAAGTTCCCTTGTACTCCAGCTGTCCACTACCTTTCTCTGGTTTCTTTCTTGTCCAGCCTTTTCATAACCTCATTTTCCTTCTTCTCTTAGGCCTTCTCAGTTCACTCATCTCCATGCTCCCTCACAAAGATGGGCAAAAGGTCCCTCTCCTCTTTTCTGATGCCCTATAGACCCAGATCCAACCTTCCCACATCTACCAGGTAATGCTCAGCATCTCCAATCACAAGAAATTCTCATCAAGTACTGTTTAGTGCATTTGAAAGTCAAGCTGGGTAACACTCCTATCATTTACTAAAGCACCTTCATTGAGTATGACAGTCACCAAAGATTAGGGTGACTGAATAGGTCTAGGGTGAAAGTCCTAAAACCTGTACCTAGCATAACGTAACTTAAAACACACACTATGCACCCAGTGGCTTCTGGTCTTTTTAAAAAATATTATATTGTTTCAGATTGCTGTGGTTTGATTTAATTTCAAAGTGAATGTTTTTCCACTTTTGCCTAGCTTTTGGGTGCAAACTAGCAGCAGTGCACAGAACTTGCTTCTAGTAAGAAAGTTGCTATAAAAAGTTTTGTTGTTGCTGCTACGTCTTGCTGTGAAAACTCTGGTATGATTCAAAATGCTTCGTTTGCTCCTGCGTCTGTAAGAATCTCTCATTTCCTTCTTTAAATTCCTCTCTAATTAAAAAAACAGTACATCATGGTTAAATAAAACTGTACCCAGGATAACCCTGATTTCCATATGCAGATTTATCTGCACTGACAGCCCCCTCTCTCTCTCTTAGTCTTTCTGTTTCCTCTCTCCCTCTCTCTCCCTCTTTCTCTTCCCCTCTCTTTCTCTCCCTGTCTTTTTGTCTCTCTTTATGTCTATTGCATTATGCCTGAATAATTTTCACTCTTTTTTTTTCCTCCCCTCTTGCACGCACATGTTAAAATAACAAGACAAAGATGCAAGGTGGTTGCTGCAGTCCCTGTCTCTAGGAAAGAACCAAGAAAGCTTGGGATTGCAATGCCACCTTTCCTTTTTTTCTTTCTTTTCTTTTTTTTTTTCCCCAGCCATGCTCGGTGATTAAACTTCCTCAGGATGGGGAAGAAAAGGAGCTGGAAATGAAACAGGGTTGAGGAAAAATCCCATTGCAGCAGCTGCAGCTAGTGGTGTGTGCTGCCAGATGTGCGAAGGTTGCTGGGGTCCTTGTCACTAAAAGGCAGTATTCAAATATTTGGAGACAAAAGCTGCATCCTCAGTGATCATTTTCTTTATTTAACATGGCAGCAGGCATCATGTGGGAAAAAATCAACACGCTGGACGTTGAATTGGACTTTTCTCCTTCCTGGGATGAAAGGATGTTATCTATCCCGTGCCAAGAGGGAACTGAGGTAAGAGAGCTGATCCAGCTCCTGTTTTTTCATAGTGTATTTCCTAAGCATCTTCTCTGAAACAGCCTATATATATGTGTGTGTGTGTATATATATATGTTTGTATATTTGTGTATTCAGTTTCAAGGCAGTAAGTGGTAATGCTTTTTTTTTTCCTACCTTCACATCAACCCAGAGAAAGTTAATTCACAATATATATTCAGAGCCTGCTCGGAAGGGTCATTTTGTGGTGTTTTTTTCTGAATACGTTTTTGTTTCCAGAGAAGACTTCAGCAGTGACATCATGGTTGACTGCCGATATTAAAACCGATTTTCAAAGTCTTTGGAAAAAAAAAAAGCCAGTAACTTCGTGATAAGAAATTGTGCAGGAGATTCATGTGCTCTATTTTTTGGTTGCACTCTAAATATCGGAAGTCTTATTAAAGCGATAGTGGGAATTTTTTTTATTATTATTATTTCTAGCACAGAAGCGATGAATGCTGCATAATTAAGTACAGTATTTAATTTGGCTGTTGTGAAGCAAAAGAATAAGGTAATAATTTTTATTGTACTAATCAGACTCAAGATGTTCTCTGTGTTAATTTGGTTAAAAAAATTGCAGTACTTATTAGAAATTCTAATTTCACAATGCAGCACTGACAATAAGCTCAGCCAGTGAATTATTCACATCTTTAATTTGCTCTCTTAATGACAGTGTTCTGTAATCAGAGTGCAGAGACTGCTTCCTATGCATTATGTATGATGTTCAGGACTTAAATGCAGGACATTATGAAGCCTCTCAGTGGCTCAGTAATTAGTTTTCCACAAGACAGGGTTTAGATATTCACAGATAAAAGTCTACAGTTGAGATAATGTTAAGGTGGTGACTCATGCTAACAAAAGCAGGGAAGTTCAAATTTAATGCTGAAACTGCTCTCCATTTTCATTGTGCATAGGTGCAGGGGGAGGGGAAGAAAGTCTTCAAAACTAGCCATGGTGAGTACACTGCGGACACCCCAAGGGGCACACCGGGGGCTCATTTCGCTTTGGGACCGTGGTTTTTTGGCACCTTTACTGATTAGAGGGTGGTGTTGCGTTTTGTGCGTTTTTGTAAAGCTTGTGAAAAGGGCAATATGTACACATTATCAGAGAGCAATCGCGTATAGGTGAGATGTATTTTAAAGGATTTTATTTGAATCACAGATGTTTGTACCTTTGTCAAATTACGATGTTTTGAGTGGGAGCCACTTTGTTATCTGTAGAAACTTTGAGAACACCTGATACTCGCTATATTGCTGTTGTACCTATTTCAAGTGTCATGGTCTTTATACATTTTGAAAACATTTTTTTACCTAATAGTTTAGTTCTCACTATCCAAAAGGTGAATAATGGTGCAAGTTTGTTCTACTTCCTTGGATAATTTACCTGGTGTTAAGTGATTTAAATGTAGGAAATATGCATGGCTATGTAACTTTCCTACTTCTATATGCTGCTTAATATAGAATAAAAAGCAAGAATATTGAAATGAAGTTGGAAAATATTAATTTCTCCATACTTAGTTGCTAATTAGGGTGTCAGCTGTACACTTGTCCTGTGTTCTTACATTATAGCAATCACATATACTTTTACTGGAAACAAAATAGTTGACTAGAGAAGGTCCTTTACTTACTTTGTGTTAACTCTCCAAAGACTTGTGCCCTTTTTACAGGATTTTAATTCTAATAATTAAAGTCGATCTGCCAATAAAAAGTTTTAGGCTTAAATTAAAAACAAACAAGCAAACCCTCCCCCCCAAAAAAACCGAACCCAAACAAACTAATGATCCCAACTTAATAGTAAGCTAGAGATAGGGGATCAAAAATTTGGAGTACATCTAGATATTTAAAGCAAAGTATTGTAAAGCTAATTCCTTTAAAAATTTCCATCAGACTCTACATCTGGAATTCAATGTTATTGGTAGCTGTTGCTAGTGTTGTCTGGCCTCAAGGCCATGGGACAAGTTACTAAGTAATTCCTCTTAGGAAGCAAAATGCTGTATCCTGTGGCTAGATAAGAAATTGGTTATGTATAGTCCAGCCCTGAAAGTAACTAACATTAAACTGTTGAATAAAGAAGCTGCAGATTGGATCAATGTAGCTAAGTGATCCATAGATTGTATAAGAATCCAATTGTTTGTGTACATGAAAAAATTGGTTGGGTCTTTTCCAGAATGTGACTTTCCTTATAATTCAAGATCCCACAGCAAATGGTACTGTAATGTGGTATCACTACATAGCAACATTTCTTTGGTCACTTCAGCATAGAATCATACACTTAAAAATTGTTCCAAAAAGGTGTCATACCCACTCCCTCACTCTTCCTTCTAGCCAGGATGAATCAAAGCTGCCTTTTTAAATGAGCGCTTGCCTGTCTGCCTAAAGATTTGTTATGATTACTTACCTAAGTTATCTATTCCAGCATTTCACTAGTCTTCCCATTAGTTTTTTGTGCTTTCTGCTCTTAAACTTAACTTGCTACGAGTAAATTACTTGAACATATTAGGTTTTGCTAGTTAGTTAGTGGTACATGGATTTTATTTTCGTCTTTGCACCCCACTCTTATGTATTTGAGATTCTTAGTCATGTTTTCACTGTGTTCTTCTCTTTAACAATCCCTGTTTGTTATTTTCTGCTTTATAGAAAAAAAATTATTGTACTTCATTAATTCTTGTTGCTGTCCTCTGGCCTTTCTACTTTCTTGAAATGCAGTGCTCTGGACTTAGGTGTGATATTCCAACTGCCATATAATTTCTATATTTTCACTTTGTTAGAAAATCTTGTTTCCTTAAGAAAATCTTAACAATATGATGTGCACATTGTGAGTGCAATGATGTCTGTTAACCCAGGATACATTCTAGTACAATTTGAAAAGACGCAACATGTGTTTGAATAGGTTTTTAATTAAAAGGTTTATGCTCCTAGTGGGAGTCTTCATGGATATTGTTTCCAATAACCTTATCTCTCACGGTAAGTACCTGTGACTAACCTGATTAATGTCTGGATGTGAGCCATCATACTGTGCAGTAGTATGTTTTAGATTACAAAATAAATTTTAGAAAATTAGCCCACTCTAACTAGCCTAGAAGATTGACTCTGCTTCTGAGCTGTGGATCTAGGAAAGAGCCAATTGGTGTCTACCGAATCTGTTAAAGTGGAGGTCCATTAGTTTGTAGTTCTGAGAAAGGAAGGGCCCAATATCTTTCCTGTGTCAAAGGCAGGCAGTTCATACCATCCTTGAGTTGTCATGGCATGGGAGGAGGACAACACTTCTGAAGTCAAAATGGAAAAATCGTGTGTCTGAAGAGTTAAAGATGACTGGCAATGTTTTCAGGGGATCGGGATTAATATAATGTTTTAAAAAAGGCATAGTGGCTACTGAGGAAAATTTTAGGACCGCTGCATGGTTAAAGAGACATCTAGTTCATATAATTGAAATGTAACTCTTTCACTGTCCTCTTACTGGCATGTAACTTCTCTGGTATAGGAATATTGCAAGTTTTTTTGAGTGTTCTCATTCATATTTCTTTATTTGTTCATATATGAAAAAGCCAGCGAAATAGTTTTAACTCAGTGTAATTTTTAGTGATATCTCTAACAAAAAGTTTAGAAAAATCCGTCCATAGTATATTTCTAGGAGTTGTGTTTTGTGTTTTTGTTTATATTGTTCCAGGTTCAAGTACCATTATAAATATGAGGTTCGGAAGTGGTATGTTAAATATCTCCAAATGTATTCTCTTAATCTAGCCTAGTAATGCAATCCTTTCATATGCATAATTTGCATGAAAACCAGTGGGAACTACATTATAGAAGGAATAATAGATACATATGCCAAGATGTCTCCCTTTTGAGTCATTGTTTAAGTTGATTGACAAAGAATAAAGTTAACCAAAATAAACAGATATTGAGAGTGGAAAGAGAGTTACTGATAATATTTTTAATTCCAAATTTATCTGTTTGCCCACTGAAAGATATATGCCAGTGGAATGACAGTAGTCAGAATATCTGATTGAAATCTCAAATGAATTTACATTCACTAATGCTTTCCAGGAAATATTTTGCAAGTTGATCATATGCATTCCAGTCAGTAAAATTCCGTATAATTGACTCAATATTATGAATTCCAACCTTTATATAAACCTATGTATATATTATGTAAAGTAGATGATAGTGATAAATATTCATACTATAAACCAGTTTGGGCTTTTTTTGCAAAGTCAAGCTAGAAATAACATAATGTACTGTATGAGTTCACATACTTAATCTTCTATAAAATGTAAATCCATAAAACTTTGCAGTTCTTATCTGCATCCATAGTAGGCCAGAAAAAATAGTAGCACAAATACTTAATACCTCACAAAAGCATCTCACTGCTTCCAAGTGTTTTTTCTTCTGTCTCCTCATCTATACATATTTTCTGTGCCAACTCTCATCCCAGGAATTATTCATATCCTCATTAAACTCCAGTTTTCATTGCTGACTTGCTAATTTTTCAGCCTTTTTTTTAAAACTTTTCCTCATGCTTTTTTAGACGCTCAGGAGACTTTTACTATTCCCAAAGCATCCCTCCTTAAAATTCCTTTGTTTTGTTTCTACATGCGTTGACAACGGTTAGGCTATTATCCTTGAAATCTTCATATCACACTATCTTTTTTCTTTGTTTTCTTGTAGTATCCCATTTCTTATCTCTTGCAATGTTTAGATTGCAAGAGTTATTGATGAAAACACTGTGGGTTTTTATTCTGTGCTTGTAGAGAGGGCAAAATAAAGGGCTCTATCTGATAGCAGTGATACAAAAAATGTGTGCAGTTAATAATTTTAACTGCCACCCTTCTAATCCTTAGTAACACAGACTTTTAAAGTCTTAGCAACTTCTTTGAAATAGAATTCCATCTAGATTCTAGGAAGTTGACAGGTTAGGCCAGTAGGAAACTGGGGAAGAACGAGGCTGCGTACAGGTGAAGCAGAACTTATACCCAAAATATTTCTGTTCAGTGCCTTCTGTTTATTACCTTTGCTTCTCCTATGTAATACTTCAAAAAAAAGACCATAGATCCAAAAACAATTATTCTGAAAGCTTTTTGTCTCTCAGGTGCATAAATTCTTTCTGGTGTGTGGTACACAGTAGCATTACAGTCTCTGTAGGTGCAGATGAAGGATTGTGTCAGTCCAGCTGAAGACTGAGGGATTTTTTTGCCAGAAGGAATAGCTTTAGCTGAGAGTGATTGTGGTGCAGCAGAAAGATTGTGTAAAAAGGAGACATTATAAAGCTGTGATGTGGTGTGAGGGATTGAAAAAAAAAAAGTTGTTAAAGTTATTACTGGCTTGAAACAACTCTGTATGTGGGTGGAGGGGGCAGATCAGGTCCTGCCAATGTGAAATTGTGCTCTGCCTCCCACCATATCCTGCCTCCTTGACAGCCTTTAGTGCAGCTGTCTGTCACTGACACCCCAAGAGCACTGCCCCACAGCACATTCCCCGCAGCCCCTAACCCATCCCCAGAGTGGTTGGCAGACCCAAAGCCCCACCTGGGAGGAGTGGACTCCACGTGGTTCGCAGCCCTGCAGTTCTTGGACTTGTGGTAGCTGGATCTGTGCTGGATCTAAGGCAGTAGCTATAATTCTCTCTCCCTCCTTCTCTCTTCTTCCCTCTCTCTCCTTCTTCCTCTTCTCTGAATTTACTCTTCTTTATATTTGTGTAACTTAAACCTGGATGGGTTAGAATTTGCTAAGTCAACGCTTTGTGGAAATCCTTTGTGTTGACTGAATGGCAAGGAGATCCATGAAGGGTTTCTGGACAAGGCAGGATGTAGTCATGTGAGTGAAATAAACAAGACTCAAAAGCTATGAGCTTTTGAGCATAAATGTGTACAGGCTTCAGAATCCAGGCCAGGCTGGAAGAAGACTATAGAGAATAGGTAACATCAAGGAGGAGTTTGTTCAAAGAGTGAAGGGGG